AAAAAAAAAAAAAAACATTGGAGCAATGCAGTGCTACGCAGCGGCAGTAGTGGCGCCGAAAATGCAATGCGGTACGCCGGAACGACGGCGTCGGCGTCGGGCGTGGCGGATAACTGACCTCGACTCGTCTAGCCCGGCCGCCCCTGACGCCGCACCATTTCCCACCAATTTTACCCCGATCCTTCTGATACACCATCGTGCCACTGCTTCCCCACTATCGCGACGTCGAATACCACCACTACGCACTACCCGTTCGAAACTTCTCTCTACTCTACTCTACTATATACACATTTACCCTTTTCTCTTTCCATCCTTCTTTTTCTTTCTTTTTTTTTTTTTTTTTTTTCTCCTATGGTAGAGCTTTCGTTCTTCTCATCCTACGGTCAAATGGTCGTGTTACCCCTCCAGCAACGACCTTACTCCCTCTACACCTGTTTTACACCCGATGGCCCCCACCGTTTCATTCCTCTCGCACTATCTTTGTCCGATTCTTCTCTCCTTCATTCGCGTCTACTCTTCTCGTCTCGTCGCAGCCTTCCGCGCCCCTGGCAGATCGGTAGACAGCAGTCTGACTGTCTGGTTGCCCAGCAACGCGCTGCTGCCCGTTACCGTCGATGAGAGATGGCGAATTCAGCGATAGTTCCGTGCTGCATTCTGCACGAGTAAATGTTAGTACTACATGTTGTGTAGTACATGGGCCAGTAGGGAAAAAATTCGAGTAACATCATTATCGCTGCGACAGATAGAAGGTTCTTTGAAAAACTACAAAAACTCTATTTCGTTTTGATCAGTATTTTAACAATGGATATATCTGAGAAAATTATAATGAAATAGTTAATGTTATAAAAATCTAATGCAATTAAACATATAATTTCTTTGTATTTTGCCTAAATGTTCCTCTAAATATCAACAATTTGTAAGTTAAATTAGAATCGATTAAAAATATAAAGTAATGAAGCATTGTTGAAATATGTAAATGTTAATAGAAAAATAACTCAACAAAAGGAATATAACAATTTCTGTTACTGTTTAGTCTAGAAGTAAATTAAGACTTTTATAAATCTATTTCCCAGACAGAGGAAATGGTGATATGCAAAAAATCTTGGGACACTATTACGAGGAATGTGTATAGCTACGTTATGCCTATTATGGCAGCATTCGTTGATATAATAAGCTACATTCGTAGAGCTTTTACATTCTTCCTTTCTCTTCTAGCTAGCAAGAGAAATTGTTTCGTCCGATTCAATGTTAGGTAAAGTGGTCATAATGTATCGTATCGGAGAAAGTCGTGAATGGTACTGCGGAGCACACGAAAACTCAACATGAAACACGATATTGGTTAACAATACGCCTCGGTATATGCATGTAGAGGTATTCATCAGTCAATGGTTGAGCAAGTTAAAGCCCTTCTATTGATAGATGGTACATGTGAATGCTAGTGGTTACACGTTATACGTTGGCGCTTATAATAAAACAGCATGTGTAAATGACATTTCTGCGACACAATAAAACTAGATTATTATATCTTAATACAAGTGATAGTATCAGGTTGCTTAATGCCTTATTAAAGTTAGTTTTCTATTAAAATAATATTGCGCTATATGTTTTATTTATTTATTTTTTTTTATTTGTTTGCAATCGATTGAGAATGAAGTTCAAAATTCTAATACAGGTAACAAACCTTTATTGACCATATAACTGATTTATTTGATTGCATTACAACAACATTCCTTTGTTAGAAACCAATTTCTCAACCAACAAGGTTCAACCGTGTGTGACTCATAACGTAACTGCTCAATGACTCAGATCCCAAGATTGCTGACAATGTCTCAAGAAGGCATCCGAATCTGAATCATAAAAGTGTCACTAGAATTATCGAATACCTGTTTTTAATACCAAATGTGTGTGTGTGTGTATATTCTTTTTATAGCAAAAATTTTATCAAATAATATCACATTTTTCAATAAAAAATTAAAATAAAAAATTAAATACCAAAATACGATATTTTTAGTTATCAGAATGTTTATCTAAATATTATATTTATTATGCGTCAGAATTATTCATCAAAGATTGCAACAATTATTTGTCTAACATTAATAATCATTGATCATAAATCATTTTACTTATAGAATGTTGTTGTTATGCTTCATGTCGTATTATATTCATGTTGTTTTAACGTTAGTTAAAAGATCATTTAGTGTTATTTTATGAGTATAAGTATACATATGTTACTTTCAGTTTCTATTTTATTACATAGATTACATATTGCTAATTTCTTTATTGTTTCAGTTATTATTTTAAAGTGGAAAAAGTAGGTATTAGAAATTTGTTATCATAAAATTATGGTATAAACACTAAAAATAATGCTGATCATTAAAATATTCTTACAGTTTAATTGTTCTCATCTTATATCATAATTGATTTTTTTTATTAATATCAATACTTATTTTCATTAATATTTTATCTGTACATTAACAATTTATAAGAAGTCAATATGTAAATTATTTGTACAAGTTAACCATTGTGTAAAATGTATATAGATTTTATTTGTTTTCATTGTATGAGTTGCATCGTTATCTGTTGCTTTGATTCAGAATTTGTAATCAGAATTATATTTCAAAGTGATAGAAACATTAATATGATTTAGAACTATTAAACACTTTACTTTCAAATATCTGTTCATGCAATGAGAATATAGGATACAAATTTTGTTTTCCAATATCATTATCACATAACACATTTCATTAAATATGATCTATATGTATATAAAATTATATTCTGCGAAACATGTGAAAAAGATACAGAAATATAAATAAGTTCTACATTTTATCATGTAAAATTCATACACATGTTTCATTTCTTGTAATATGAATGCACAGATGATTTATACTATTATCATATTATTTATCTATTCTTGAATAGTTTTACATTTTATTTAAATGTTTACTAAAATTCCTTTTCCAAAGTCTGTTATCTGTTCTTTATATTATTATAATTATATAAAAAAAATTCGTGAATGTTCAGCTTATACTAAAATTGTTGCAACATTAAAAACAGAAATGTAGAATAATATTATACAACCTATTATAATAATTTTAATAAGTAACAAGTCGAATATTATATATTTTGTATCCTTTTTTATGTAATTAATAGCATCAATATCAGTGCTATATTTATGTAAATAGAATGGAAAGCACAAAAATATATAACCACTCTGATTTTTTAATGTTTACTACCTGCACTTTATCTACAAAGTATGTGTAATGTTATTTCAAATAGTTGACTAGATACATACCTAATATAATAGGTAATCTGGATAGTCTTCTTTATCATATACTCATAAATTACAAGAAACAAATAAATGCAATAAAATAATGTATGTCAATATAATGTATGTAAAGTCAATATAACGTAAATAATTAAAACGTAAGTAGTACGTAAAGTTCCATGTTTAGTATTTTTAACAGCAAAATACATATGTTAAAAAAAGTTATCAAATATAATGTTTATATGTAAAATTAAGAAATACGTAATAATATGTAATAAGACACATTGTATTGACTTATATCCATTTTACATACTTTGTGAAGGAATGTGTAGATAGTAAACAAGTATAAAATATTTAAAAACCTTCGCTAATACATTTATACAGCATAGACTTACCATTTCATAATAATCATTTTTTTGAATACCTTCAAATATAACAATTAAATGAAGGATTTTGGAAGATTTTTGCTGTTTATAATTTTGACATTTTTAACCTTAATTTTTAAATTAAAATGTATCAGCGATATAAACGTGCAAAATTACGTAAGGCATGATTTATAGATTTTGCTGTCTCCGCTCTGAAAGTCAGAAAAATTATACGAAATTTTTGTACTTCAAATATAGACAATATTAAAAATTGTTTATTATACCTTACAACCGTATTATGAAATTCAAACAGCTGTTCAGGTTGTGCTGTAGGAGAACCACCTGCATTTTGTGATGGCATCGTCTTGATAGCTTCTTCTAACCATTTGGATAATAGCTAAATAACATTTTAATTATAAAGTAAAATATAGTAAAATATATTGAATCGTTCAATAGACAGACAATCAATATCTTACTTGTCTATTAGTTACAGAAAGTTCATTTAAAACATCTGCTACGTCAGATAACATGTACGATGATAAGGAAAACACGGATGCGTGAAGTAGCCTTATGACTAAAGTTTGTCCTTTTTCTTTTAATATGCTTTGTACTAATTCCCGACGTAATGTATAATCTGTCCGATTCTTGGCAAAAAAATAAAATTATTAATACAAATTCATTACTATTAAGTTACAAAATTTCATTTCAAGTTACCTCATTGTTACGACCACAGTGCAAAAGATCATAAAAGAATTTCATTACTGAAACATTTGCATCTCTATGATCTAAACTACAGGCCATTAAGGCACAATCAATTATGCTTTCTATAACAACCGAGCACAAGAAAGGTATTGGAGCTCTTTGAAGAAACCTGTCATTAAAAATAAAATTATTTTTACATTTAAAAAATGGATGTATTACTGTGTTATTCATAAAAAGTACCTGGCACATAATCTAAACAGATCATCTACTGTATCCGGATGATTTTTTAGTCCATCTTGTTGTTGAAGAATATTAAAAGTAGGTCCAATAAAAGCTTCCAGCATTTTTAACAAACCAGGGACACATTCCGAATCTGTAGCGTATTCATCAACTAATATCGAACCAAGATACAAAAAGCAACTATGTTGATGAGCTGCGTATAATTGCACAATCTGAAAATTTATAAAACAATGAATAAAAATTTATAATTTAGAATTTATTTGCTATAAGTACCTGTTTTACAAGTGGTTCAAGAAGATGGGCGGAATGTTTTCCTACACAACGAACAGCAAATCTTAAACAACGACAACACCTTTCCATCACTTTTGCATCATATTGATATGTTGTACATACGTTTGATAATATTGGCCACATCTGTACACATAAAAATAATTTTAACATAAAAGATACAAATCATATATTATTGAATGAAGCTTAAATATATGAAGCATATTATATGAAGCTTAAATTATATTTTGAATTATAAAACGTACTTCAGTAACAGCGCTTTGACAAGGATGAGGTTCAAATCGATCCTCAATTGGAGGATCCAAATCAGTATGCCTAAATATGGCAGCTAATCTGTCTAACCATACTACAGGATCAGTCTTTGTTCCTACTTCAATTGGAATTCTATGTTCCATAATTTCACATAACGGTCTTGCTTGAAACCAACATAATTCTTTCATAGCTTGTGTAAGTTCTTCACGTGGTAAAGTTGACATAATTATTGCTACTCCTGTTTAAAGATAGTAAATATATTATATTATTCTGTTGTGTATAAACACAATAAATATATTATCTTACCCTTAAGTAAGCCAATAGCGGCATCATTACTAATAGCAAAACTGTCAAGAGAACGTGCGATTTGCAATAATCCTGGAAAGTGAGAAGCCATATGTGATGGACAAGCGGTACATATACTTAATAATGCACCACAAGCTGCACTTCCTAAACCCTTTTGACTTAGACAAGTCAAAAGAAAATTTAAAACAGGTTCTACAACATTAATTACAAGTTATGAAAAAGGAGGACTATAATATAAGTTATAATTATTTACGAATATTACCTAAAGATTGTGGATGATTTTCTATCCATTCACAAAGTTCTCCCAATAAAAGTATACTCGTATGACGTACAGCTACATGAGTGTTTTCTGGTAAGTTTAAAATAGCCTCTACTACTTTCGGTACTACATCATTTTCTTTTCTATGAATAAATATCATGATAAATGTTGATGAATTGTAAGAATTTTATTTAATAAAAATAAAACAATAATTTTATTGTATATAAAAATTTATTTTTAAACTTACGGCAAAATATTTTTTGCAACTGCTTGCATTACAAATAGAGCAGCTTCAGTTGAATCCCATGTAGGTACATGATTAGATTGACCCTGTGGTCCTGGTCCACCCGTCAGGGATGAAAACATTTGTCGAAAACAATGACTACTTCCAACTACAAATACAACATCCTTTATTAGATCTGAAACACGATTCCTGAAATCTGCAAATTCTTCTCCACCAGCTCCTTCTTCCACCAGACCCAACTGCAAAAAGCACTTATGCATAGAATATCTTCGTAAAAAAATAATAATCAGTTCAATAATTACTAACATGATCTGGTTCCATTTGACAATGCCTACATAGTGCTCCAATTAATCTTTCAATATGAGGCCGGAACACTGCATATAGATCTTCGCTGTTTTTTTGGTAGAGGATTAAAATATCAGATAAACGATACCACAAATTGAAAGTTATTTGTGCCACTTCATAATCATGATGCCCCACACATACTAAGACAAGGTCAAGAATTTTTATAGCATAATGTTGCTTCCCTCCTAAACAACCATTTACCATGGTTTCTAAGAAAGTTTCCGCTAACTCCGTAAAAATCCGACAATAATTTATCGATCTAAATAATTGATATAATGACTAAGTAAATACTTAAGATAACCTTGCGAATTTATCATATCTGTAATTACATAAAAGAAATAAAATTTACTTGTCCATATCTTCATGTGCAACAGATAAATGGTACGGCTGTTCTAGAGACATTACACTAGTAAACAGAAATAGCTGTAACTGTTGTAGCTGTATATTAGATTCCTCACTATTATTACCCCGATTGCTATTATTATCTTCTTCCAAAACTTGCAAAATTACACATATACAATCTGCAGCTGCTTCATGTAATTGAGATCCAACCATATGATTTCCAAGTATCTAAACAATGATGTATGATTCTGCATTTGAACTTCATCTAAAGTTATCAGTTTTTATTATTGGAAATACATACCTGAAGGGTATATATAATAACATCACTTGTAGGTACAAGAGATATAGCATGTACTGCAATCCAACTTGTAAAACATCTAAGAATTGTAACACGAATCTGTACATTCTCTCCACCATTTTTTAGACACATTTTCTGAAAATATAATAAAAATTAATTGCAATAAAAAATTTGTATTCTTACTAAACTAACTTTCTAATTTCGTGTTTACTTACTAAAAATTCTGTCACTGTATCTGCACTTGCATTAAGTTCAAGTAATATATATTGTCTGCGATTGGCTCCTAATCTGTATAAATTAGTATAAATTTAAAAAAAATTATTTATTAATGTACAGTATATGAAAGATTATTAATTAGTAGATTATAATCAAGATTTTCATTTTATTTTTATATACCTAAGAGATCTTGAATTTACTTCTTCTGGTAATACTGTCATTACTTCAAGTAATGGCCACAGACTAGCAGTTGATCCTCCAAATCTATGAATTAAATCCACAACTGGTTTTTGCCAAGAAGACATTTGTAACGCAAGGTCTGCTAGCGCTAGACACAACTACAATAATAATCTTTTTTATTATGATAATGTATAAAAAAATACACATATAAGGTACATATATCAGAAACATCTTTGAAAACAAATATATATATAAACCTGTGTAACAATAGCAGAATTGGTATGTTCATTAATTTGTGATATGTGATTCATTAAAGAATCCCTTAAAGAAGTGTGAGCTTCTACAGGTAATTCTTGAAAACATAGTTGTATTTTAGTACGCATTGTTTGAGCAGCAAAATAACAAGACTGAACATCTCGTTTTTGCTGTAGCATTTCATCTGCTATTTTCCATGCAAACACCTATAACAATTTATATATAACATAACATATTTTCTTTTTTATTATTTTTTATCTTTTTTTATTAAATTTGAAATTATATATATAAGTTTGATTTTAAGAGTATAATATAAGACTATTTTAATATAAGGTTAGAACCTGTTTGATCTGCTTATATTTTTTAATAAGAATTTTGTACGTTTGAATATTACAATTATCAATAAACGTATAATCGGCACAAGAAAAATTTAGAAAAATGTAATACATGTAAGAACAAAACAGGACATCAATTAAAAAAAAAAATTAACAAATAACTTACTGATTTTTGTAATTCGTCCAGCCATTGAGATGTTTTTCCTGGCCCCGAAGGATTTGAATTATTATATAAAGAATATACAGCCTGGTAAACTGTTTCCAGGTCAGGCGGAGAATCCATTCTTCAAAAAATATTTATTTCCCCGGTAATATCCATACAGTTAATTCCTACTGACAACAGATCACTTGCGTTTCGTACCGCGTTACATCCAATCTCCAAATCCAACCTGCACAACCACAAAAAAGTTCTTGTTCACACCATCCTGGCATTATTCTGCTTTATCGACTTACAACAAATAATATTGTCTATTAAAACTTGATTAAAATTAAAAGAATACCTACAATTTAAAGAATAATCACTAATAAAAAATATCCCCATTTTAATATCTTACGTGTGGTATCGGTTATTTTTGTGAATATTTAGGTTACAATTAAAGTTACGTTAACTGTTATACATTTTCAATCGGAATTCAACTATAAGATCTTTATATATCAACTATTTGTGTAACATGTGCAGTTGCAAAATGAAAGGTACTCCTTAAGTCACAGTTAAATTTTGATCATGATTTGTTTAAATTATTTTTACTTGATATTTATAATTTATGAATTTCCAAATTTGTAATTTGTAATGTATACACCTTTAAATATCCCGCCGTTTCTTTGTTATCCGCAGAGTATCGCGTACGAGAGACGTGTATCGTGTATTCACTGCAGCTGAAAGATTTTGATTTTTAGTGAATATATCTTTCCGTGAGTCCTACATGGTCCGTGGAAGAAATGCGTTGAAAGTTTATATTTGACAGTTAGACAACAAATACAAGAAATAACATCTGAAACGTACAATGAATGATTACAAAATACCAATAATCGAGCCAACTATCGATTGTACGAAGGTGTAGATATTGGATTTCGACATTTTTCCTTTTCTACCGCTTATGTATAATAGACAATTTTATACATTTTCGTTTTTATTGTCAGGTACCACCAATTAATCAAAAAAGAACAATTTCTTTCATTAATCATTTTATTGTACATACTGTAACATTTCTTAATAAATTTACCTTGTCCTGCGAAGAAAGATTATTAGAATTTGAATACAAATTGCAAAGGATAGAAGCCTCATTAGAAATTTTAGAATCTTGGGTATGTAACTACTTATTTATACAAATGCGAATAAATTTAAAAAAACTTACAATTTTCAGTAATTTGTATTTTTACAGTTATCATCTGTCCCTGGTTTGGAACAAAATCAAAGTACAAAAAATGCTGTAGAAAATAATGATAATAAGCAGGAAGAAAAAAATATATCTAAAATAGATGAAACTGATAGTAACAAAGAAGATAAATTTGAAGAACAACAGATAGAAAATCAAGTCGTAAATAGAGATCCACGTTATGAAAAATATTTAAAAATGATACATTTTGGTGTACCAAAAGAAGCTGTTAAATTAAAGATGGAACAAGAAGGATTGGATTCGTCTATTTTAGAGTAAGTGCTATTTAAAATGTTTTAAAATTCACCTTTATGGTAAAATACAATAAAAAAATTAATTAATATATATTGAAGTTTAATAAATGAAATAATGTCTATGAAGTGTTCATGCATCATTCATTGAAGTAATTAACATCATTGTTATTTTTTATATTAACAGTGATTCCCAGCAAATAATTTCTAAGCCGAAATCTGCAGATAATGGTGAGAATAAAGGAGATTAAATATTTAGTTATATTCTTATATTAAATACGTGAAATATTTTTACGTTATAAAATTTAGTTAATAAAATAAACAGTTATACAAATTTCAGGAATTTATTTCATTTCTTATTAAATACATATAGAAAGTTAACACATAATTCCACCTTAGAACTGAATCATTTGTCCCTAGAAAAAGAATATTTCATTTTAATTTATTTAGTATTAATTAATTAATATGTAAAATATGTCAAATACCTTTCTTTTTTTATCGCCTCCTAATTCAAAATGTTTACATCTTTTAAGAGGAATTTGTTTCCTATATTTACATTCTGTACATTCCATTCTTAAGACAATCTTTTTGGTAGTTTTTGCCTACATAAAAAATATAAAATTAATATCAAAATGATAATTATATCAATGTTATTGATATTAAATAATAATATTTAAAAAATTACCTTTTTTCTGAATATAGGTTTGGTTTGTCCACCAAAGCCTTGCTGTTTACGGTCGTAACGTCTCCTACCTTGTGATGCATGACGTTCTTTGCTTTTTTTATATTGTGTTACTTTATGGGGTTTATGTACTTTGCACTTTTTACAAAAAGTGCGTCTCTGCTTTGGTACATTTACCTGAAAACATTGCAATAAAAGATTAGAATATTACAGTAATCATTATTTTTAAATATATAATTAAAATGAAGCTTAAATTAATTCTTTATTTCTACTAATTTCAAATTATTTTTTTATTTCTTTGTAATACTGATAAGTTTTATATTCAATTTTAAAAATAATAATAGAACTTGTTACTTTTGGAGGTTATGTTATTACTATTACAATTGTTTGAAAAAGCCATAAAATATTTATACTATTATTTCACAAATGCAATATATGTAATAATGTTTAACATTGAAAGTAACATTGCAATATGATTAGGATTAAAATCGTAGATAAATTATATACTTATTTAATTGAAAATTTACCTACCATCTTGAATATTTAGAAAGAAAAGGAAATGTACTCTTATCGGAAATGGATTCTGACCAGGAACTTGCGCATGCGCATGTATCGTATATTACACCAAAAATCGAGAATTTATTATTCTTTTTTATTCTTAAATATATAAATATTTAATATGTTTGATATCATTTTACGAAATTTTTTCATCCGAAATTATGATAAAAAAACACAACTGTTTTAAAACTAATAGTTTTAAACATAAAATTTCAATTGTATATACGCCATTAATAGCCAGCCTCAAAATTGGTTTAATATATAAAACGTTCAATCAATAACAGCAATTATGTTATAATGTTTCTTTTGCTAGTATCTTTCATAATAATTTGTAAGTTTTCACGATTTATCATCTAGTATAGCAAAGTAAAATTTCTTTTATATATTCAACTGATTACCTTTTGAAATTAAAAAATAATAATTAATCTATAAAAAAAAAAATAAACAGAATATTTGATATATAGTAATGTTACATTTGTTACAAATCATTACAAATGAATAATCATTTTTTGTAATTAATTAGATTAATTGATCAACATATTCAATTTTTAGTTCTAATTTAACAAGTTTATTTATATTTAACATATTTAAAGGATACTTGTTATGGGTAAAAATCTTAGAAATTAAAAAAGCAATACATTTTATGTCAAATTTTGACTGACAGGTGTGCGTCTGCGTCATTCAAAAAGTTTGGCTCTTTTATCTATAGGATAATTCCCGCCATGATCTTTAGACTATATTATTTTTAATATATATTTTAAATTAATATATAGAAATATTTATTGTTTTGTCTAAAATTTCAATTTTCTTTGCATGTATTCTAAGTTTTTTTACAAAAATGATATAAAAAAAGGATGTAAATGTTTTGTACCGCCAAAGCTTATTTGAATCAAGCCACATAGCCTCGAACCAGACGGTAAACTCAGGCCACGAACTCTCGAACCCCTCGTCCTCCGCAGGATTTAATTTTATTTATACGTCAGGTGGATGGATTACGTGGAAAACTTTTGCAAGAAATAATAAAACATTATGTAGTGTTATAACCTTTCCAGTTAGGTGCAGTGGCACGTCGAAAAAGGATATTATGATTTCAACCAATCAGGCATTTATCGAGTTTCAAACCCGCGCCATCTTCATTTTTGAACAAAGCCAGGTTGGATATGCTAGAAGCGAGCTGAGACCGGGTAGTAGTCCGCTTTGCGCTATTCGCGCCACAGTCGTCAGTACACGACACTCTCCACTCCTGACTGGTTGCTCTCTGTCTCACCCTCCTTTCCCCTCTTTCTCCCCCCTCTGCCTCTTGGGTTTTCGCCTGACGACGCTGCTCTCTCGGGCATTTCGCCGGAAACCGACGCCGCGCGAGGACACGAAGTTTTGTTACGTGTACACATTGCTCTAATCTTTTCCATCGTTTGTAAGCGGACACGCAGGCATCTTACCCAACGTACGTATCCACCATGAGCAGCAAGGAAAACAACGAGGTCGCTGTGGAGAAGGTGACTGAGAACGACAAGACTTCCGGAGACGCGAAGTGTGAGATCAAAGGAATGAAGAGGCCAGCCGAAGTAAGTTGTCGCGTTTTTCTTACTTGATTTTTTAAATACCAGTTTCTCGGCCTTTTTCGTGATTGTGCATAGCCATACACGTATACTCGTGAAAGTACGTCCACGCCGGCTTACACCATGCTTCCGCGCCACGCTGCTTGATCACGGTATTGTCTACGATTTCGGAGTCGTATTTATATAAATTTACAAAAGTTCGTGAATATTTTCCTGATTTGATTTTCCTTACGTATTTTACGCAAATATTATTGTTTTGTGTCGCGGGATCATAAATTTATATTCTTCTCGTGATATTCTTGAGGACAAACGGGTGGGCGGGCAGTTTAGTGGTCGTTTCAACCGACTGACATGGGAGAGAATATAGGATGCCGGCCGGCATTTTCATTGGACTTCATATTTTCCTAACTTTAAAAAACACGTTCGTTTCTGTGTATTATTCCTCAGGATATAAAAATGACTACGTAATCGCGGTGTTTTCTTGATAAAACTCGAGGGACGCCATCGTATTTCGCGTGGCTGCCACGAGCATGATGGTTCGGTTGATCACCCCTGTTATTACAATGCCGTCTATAATTACCGATCTATTTAATATCAGATTCAATACTCTCTTTTGCTTGTATTTTGTTAAAATTAATGTGAAATTCGGGCGGGATATCTTAACTACTAGCGCCATGTGCTCATTTCCATTACATTCTCATGTTATGCATTGTCGAAGCTTTCCAAAACTATCCAAGGTTTTGTAAATTTTGGTGAAACTACAGTTCATGTTACTTAGCATTCATTGTACAAGATGGACGCCATTTTTTATCTAGAATATCACTGTTATAGCTAGGAAAAGCGAGCATCCCGCGCATTTTTCCGAGCGCCGTTACTGCCGCCACCGCCACCGCTGTGGATTTCCATTATGGCGCCCGAAACCAAGCCCGCGTTCATTGTGCTCTCTCGCTCGCTCGTTTCATCTTCTCCTTCCTCTCCTCTCATTCTCTTTCTCTCTCTCTCACACACACACGCGCGCGCGTTTATTCTCTCACTCTCTATGTCGTAATTGATCGATAATTCGTTGTAAGAGGGTTAATCGTGTCTGACGGACGATCGATAGACTAACACATATCTCTTTCAAGTCGACGTGTTGCTCTGAAATTGTTTACCGATCTGCGTGCATAAACACCGCGCTGAAGGCTTCCTTTCTCGCTTTGCTTCTCTCTCTATCTCTCTTTCTCCCTCATTTCTCAATCTCTCTTCCCCTCTGCCCGCAACTCTGTCGGCGTTTGGTTCTCTCTTTCCATCGAAAACCCCACGCGCGCAGCCAGCAGCAACGCCATGTATTATATACTCATGTCTCTCCTGCCTCCCTGTTCTTTCGTAGCATACCGCGTAGTGTTACGAACCTTCGAGAAAACATGGTTGCAATTTTTCGTCTTAAATTGGATCATTAATTCAGCATCAGTGATAGGAACTGGTTGTTTTTATTCAATAATATATTGTACAATTGCCATTATAAAAGTTGCAAGGTGAAATTTGTGGTTGAAAATGCCGGCTATCATCCACGCTTTCGGTCTCAATGGTAGAAAGTCGTAGCGGGTTCTTCGCGCAGCAGCAATAGTATGTCACGTGGAAACTTTAATTGTAGTTCTTCGAAATAGATTCAAATATCCTCATTATTATTATACTTAATAATGTTCTGTTTGTTTAAAATATAAAAATTTGTAGTAGTATTTATTTATTTTTTTATTGCATTCCACTTACATTAAATTACTAGATTTGAGGTAGTTTCATAAGTAAAATTTATTTCCATTTGTAATTGATGCATTTATGTAATTACGTGATCACTACGATGAATACTAGGATTCGTAAATTCTATGACGTAGCGCATGTATATTGTGGAGAACATGAAAGTGAAGAAAAGGCGGGAATTTCAAATAAGGTTCAGATATATTTATTAAATATGAATAATGGGTCAATATATTTTTGGTGCGAAATAATATTCTGCTTTTTATGCTTAATTAATTTCTATATTACTTACACTTAGCTTTAATTTAATGAAAAAGTTATTTTAATATAGGATAAATGCGTGTTTGACTACGTCACTGATATTCTCAGTCTAATCTAGTATCACATGATTCTATGAGTGTTTTCGATCAATGATTTACTTTACCTTTACTTTTAATTTACCTTAATTTTATTTCGTCTTGGCAAACAAAGAATGCTTTTGCTAACCCAATATGATCAAATTAATACGCGTTGCTGAAGAATTATATAACGATTATTCATGGCTTATACCCGAACAGGCAAGAGAAATGAAATGAGTTTATATGATAGGTTATGAACGTTGGGTTATCTGTAAAGACCTCGTGATTAGTAATAAGTTGATAGGTAATCGTGTATGTAGGATAACAAATAAAATTGTCATTTCATGACCACTGGCGTCTGCGTCACCGTTTATTATAAACTACACCATAACATTATGAATCTAATAAAAGTAGTAATCAACAAATTTTAATTCGAAGGAAACATTTCAAGTTTTAATTATAACCTGAAACAGCGATTTTTATATTTTACAAATTTTTATTTGCCGTTTAATGGTATACATGTAAAAATTGGTATTTTTGTAACTTTTTAGACAAGATTATGAGAAATATCTATTTTTGTTGAAAAGAGTAACAATCATTAATATTTATACATTGTGCTTAGTATTTAATTTTATGATGAGATGTATTTCACTTAATAATATAAGACAATTACTTTGAGAGAATTCATTCTTGATGATGTTACAATTTTTGAACATTGCAATAAACAACTAATATGTTTCAAAATGTATTTAGTTGTTTATAATACATAAATATAAAATATATAAACTATATATAATATTTGGTTGGCATTTTTATTTGGTTTGAAGATCAGAGCGGTTCTTAGTTCCATGCACGATATCCGGGCATGCTGCTTCGTATTTCTCTTCTCCCCTCTCTCCCTCTTCGTGTGCTTTACGCAGCACGAACACATCCCCTTCTACAAACATGTATCGTAGTCGTCTACCAATCCCTACGTTTCTCCCACCATCTAGTCTTAGTCGATTCGTCCCTTTGATTGGATGATGCAGTTCTGCGAGTTTTCTATGCCCTCTTTCCGTGTCCGCCGATAGACACGGCGCGTGTATGCCATTACGACAATCCACCCTGGTCATGGGTAACGCTGTATGAACACGAGTTAAGTTACTGGCATATTTCAAGAATCGTGTGAAGCGTATACTTCACAGAACATTATCGTTTCTTTTTATTTTTGTATTTTATTTTATTTAAATCTAGGATTCCATATGAACCTCTTACGTTATTTACGTTTTTTAATTTCCTATGAATGTAACGTTGATAAGATTGAGTTTTCTAGTAGACTTTTATGTTAAAAATATACCAAGAGTCGAATGTTCACATATATACATAAAAAAATTGTCACGTAATATGTATTTCTATATTTATCGCAATCTTCTTTCAATTACTGCTGGGTTATCAAGTTTTATGTGTTAGTTTATATTTTAAGTTTAAAATTTTCCTATGCTTTTAAGTATTCTTTATATTATTACACAGTTCTTATTTCTGCGTTTTTTTGTTTTTAAAGAACTGTTTTTTTGTTTCTTCCTGTTTCGCCATATTTTAACGGAAAGTCCCCTCCATTACTTTCCGTGTCCTTATGTTTCTTGGCGGGAAGGGAATCCTCTTCATCCGTTTCCCCCACTCCTTTATCTTTCGGTCGCTGTTAGGATTTCCCCTATCTTTGTAATTCTCCTACTTCTTTCTAGAATGCATAAATTTTAAGTATATGGTAACGGAAAATATATTTTTAACTTGGTTTCAGTTGAAAATCTCAAAATAGAAATATTCATTGGAAACTTAAATAAATAAATAAATTTGTTTTAGGAAAAAAATGATGAAACAAAAAAACAAAAGAAAGAAGAGAATGGTGATGGGGAAGTAGAAGAAGAAGAGATAGAAGAGGAAGTTGAGGAAGAGGAAGAAGTTGATGGAGATGGTGAAGAAGATGATGAAGACGATGACATACCAGAAGGAGAAGAAGATTTAGAAGAAGGTGAGGGTGAGTTGAGAAATTTTGCACTATTTCACGAAATATTATTAGTGAATTATAAATTTATGTTGTTTGGCAAGGTCAAAGTGATATTCGTGATTGATTAAAGTTGTTATATTTGAAACTCGTTGTTTATAGACGAAGAGGAAGATGATGCAGAAGGTGAAGTAGAAGGAGAAGTAGAAGATGAAGAGGAAGACGCATAATGATAAAAGGGAAAAAAGTATGTAAGTAAAAAAGGAGGTAGGCACATGGGACCGTCGTCGATCTTCGGCAGTCTTCTCAACAAACTTACTCTCATATTGAGTGGTTGGTAGCAATGTTGAATACCCATCGTGCCCAGACCCTATTGCCTCCCGACGTACGATAAAAATTACCAACTCACCGGAGTTGTGGTGGGCTGACACACATTAGAGGCAGCCGCAGTTCTACTGTCTTGGCTCTTCGCAATTCTGGTCGTCTAGCCATCACCAAATGCTATTAGGTAGTTTGAGTGAAAACTATATATTCGTCCTGAGGAGTTTGTAGGTATTGATTTTGTTTAATATCTAAGTTTTTCAGACGCAGTTGTACGTTTAGTATACCGTATGTAATCCCAAGACGAATTTATTGTTTTATCCAAACCACCTATTAACTGGTATATTTACCGTTATCTGGCTTTCTTCGGGACGGTTTTATAACGGAAACTTATTTAAGATATAAAAAGCTCTATTGTATTTAAATAGTGTAAAATGAACATTTGTGGGTGATGATTTTTTTACATTTGAAATCAAATTTACGTTTGTAGTTCGACGAATGTCTCTCACCTTGTGCGCGTGATTGATTTTCCTTTTCGACCTATATATATGTGTATTTGCAATGACTTTGCAGGAGCGCGAGCGGTAAAAAAAAAGATAAATAAAATGGATCAAGTAGCGCATAAAGGAACAAAAATAGCAAATAAATGCATACATAAAGCCGGAAGGACATCTCTCGACATTCGTTGTATATTAAAAAGAAATGAAAAAGATTTTAATAATATTTAAAATCTTTGCTTCGTGCTCCTGTTTGATCCGAAAATAGAAATTAAGGTTAATACAACGCTCGCGCTAGTAGTGTGGATGAGTAATGTGTGAATTTAACATTGCATAATAATTATACATAGTATGTATAAAGTTATGGAGTAAGAAACATTTTATTATTAACGATAATATTATGTAACGTAATATAATGTGGAGAGGTTGTTAAAATTTAGACTTCGAGTATTTAGAGTAGGGAGAGAATTTTTATTTTACAAAGCACAGATATTGCAGAATAATATTTTATTTCTTCAAAGTAAATATTCCATTTGTTTAGTATATACGTTTCTTGTATTTACGTAATGACTTTAAAACGTAACGAAGCCACGTAGCGCATTTCAAAAATCGTTAAAATTGTAATGGAAAAGTTAACCTGAGAGTTACAACAAAATTAACGACACTCTCCCTATTCGACTGCACTCATTTGAGCGTAATTTATTCATATTTTATGTACTGTGGTTTTATTTTGACTTCGTCATGGACTACTCGAGCAATGATTCGTTGACTATCGCAGAACGGGTGACAGTATTCTCATTATGATAGTCACCTGTGCACACGGTGATCAGTGTCTTACTAATGACATACCCATAGATTTATTAAAAATGTCAGATAATTTTTAATATATGAGTTATATTATTAGCTGGTTACCAACAGTCAAAATATAGATGCTCTTTGTGCTAGAGTCGGTGGATCTTTGCAAATGGAATGGTCCATGCCACCACTTATTTCGGGAGACTGGTAGACAAGAAACGGGTGAAGAGACATTGCGGTTACGATACCATTGTACCATAGCTGCATAATAAATAAAGGTAACGATAATTTGAATGCGAGACGATGTCCCACGTTTTAATGTACAAATATTTTCGAATGAGATAGTTAAATAAAACGCCAGTTAGATCAGAGAAAATGATTCGTTCTCATAAGTAGTAATGGGTTTAACTTCCGAAAATAAATGACAGCAATAGCAGTATTAAAAGAACGAAAAAAAACTGCTATTCGTGGACTGAATCCTGCTACATTGGAGATGAAATGGTCTGTGTACACATGTTTATAGGATAAACCTAATTTATTCGATGTTACAATGGAAGAAATAAAATTTGAATGCATACATAAATAACAATACGTACAACATAGCAATTTATTGTATTGTTTACAGGCCATACCATCTCCAGAACTCTGTTATTCTACGGTTTTATACACAATCTGCTGCTGTATTTACACGTGTTCACTTCAAGATAGTACCTTGACGATTATGTTGACAAAGAACTATCTTAAAGTACAGGTGCCTGAGCAAAAAATGAGTACTTTAGCGTTCATAGTATACAATACATACACTATAAGCATAGGTCCATTTAATTTTATTAATACAATATGAAGCCCCGTTTGCAACATGTTCAAAAAATATGAAAATGGACTTGCGTTCTGTACTTTGAGCCAGAAATTATGGCATTCTCTGCTCCAGTACTTGACGTGACTCTGAAAACTATTTACTGGTGCTAACGGGTCTTACAATCAATCAAGCTGAATGCCCAGAAACAGTTGCATCCCTACGTTTGTTAGGTAAGCATTAAAAGAAGAAAAAAGTGAATTTAAAAATCTTATTGAATTTTGGTAATGAAACATGATTAAACGAAATCTTAGGCTAAGAATTTGGTTTGTGTGTTCATAAGTCTTGTTCAAACTACTTTTGTACAGGATACCATCGCATCATCATTTTCAACGTAACAGTAACCGATACCACAGACTATATTTCTGCCCATTCCATCAGAATTGAACTTTCATTGTATTTTTAAGTAAATACATTTTGGAAAACAACAGATGTTTTTTTATTCTTCACGTGTTTGTGAAGGAAGACGTCTTTCCCTATTTATAATTTAATGATAAATCGACAGCTCATTTCTTCGAAGATAATTTAGACTAAGATTGTTTTTATGTACCTTATATGTACATATAAATTAAGGATTATATGTGACTATGTTGTGTAAATATCCAAAAACAATTTACAATAAAACATGTACGTAATATGTGATATAAACAAGATAAAAATTACTGAAATTTCAATATCTATGTTTATTTACACGTATAATTGTATGTAAAATTATAATGTATTCTAAGATGTAATTGTATATACAGTAAACATATGTACTTAAGTATAATGTTATTTGTATCTTATATATATATATTGTTTATTTATAAAAATTTCTGTAATGATTTTAAGGTAATGATATACCGGATATCAGTTATATGATAATTGATAACGTGATATTAAAACCGTAAATATTATATATATATAATCTACGGTGAAATGTAACCGTAGTTATATACTAAAATTTAAGACAGAAAAATTTAAATATGAATCAACGTACCTGGACGGAACATGTATTATTGAAAATTTTTTAATCTGGTGCATATTATTAGGAGCCGAACATTGTGCTCAGATATTACTTCTAATACATATATTTACAAACAAATTTGTAGTAAACATAAATGTGTAAAAAATAAAAATCAAACATTTGTATAAGCGTACAAGATATGTAATAGAAATTAATATTTGTGGATATTTATTTTAGCTAAGCAATTTGTACGAATATTGCATGCAGATTGTCTTATAATATACATTGTATTTTCTTCACCGAGTTTTATTTTATATAATAATAATTCATATCAAGACACTTTGCATGCACGTTAAAATGTGTAAATTTCAATACACGTCGATCACAGTTATAGCATTTTGTATATCACTTAGTAGATAAATATTTCTCGTTTGTGATATTGAAAACAGTGATATTTAAAAATCATATAAAAATATCAAGTGTTTAAAACTGATTATCGATTAAACAAATATTCTACAAGATTGCACAGTAATGTACTGCGATATAATCACAATTAATTAAATATTCATTACATGATATATTCATGTAAAGAAATTTTCGTTTAAAAAATAATGTTTATATAACATATTTTTTACAATGTTATCAAGATCAATAAAATGTACGACTTCTTTAGTCGTCAACTTCCCGCGTTGGTTTATACATATTATTCAAAGTGCATAATTCCTGAATAGTGTTATTAGTAATTCTTGTAAAACTGTCGGTCATGTTACTATTTTCTTCCATGTTAGTTGGTTCTGCGTTTGCTGCTTTGCTTGTTTCTGACTAGATTTGATAACAGTTTGATTTCTTATTTAATAATTTCTCATTCAATGCTATCATACAATAAATGGATATGTAATATAAATACCTTAGGAGAATCTGAAATAAATAATCCACTCGATAGATTTTCAGAGAGAGCAGTACCAAAAGCGGCGAGTTCTGCTGAATCAAGTTGAATAAGACTTGAATCGAAGCTGTACTGTTGACTGTCCATATCTAAAACGCTTGTAACATTTGCTCCTTTCACTTCACCTGCTATATAAATTATTATCACAATTATTATTTTAAAATAATAATACGTAGATGTAATAACAAATACAAAATATTTATACTACCAGTATTGTCCAAGGATTGAAATTCTTCGTGATAGTTTGGTGTCACTCTGTTTAATACTAATTGTTCTTGCGGCTGTATTTGTAACATGTTATGTATATATGGAAATTGTTGTTGCGCATACGTTTCGGTTGATCGTTGTACGATATGATTGTTTGTTGATTGATATTGCGGTGATGATTGTGATTGAATAAGTGCTGGGTTATATGGACTATACTCTATTGGTGATATACGACCTGGCGATACTTGTGGCCTGTATAACATTGAAATTTTTTCAGATCCATTGTCCTACTTATCTTATTTTTTAAATAATAGTTATAAAAAAGCTCTAAGTTACCTCAACGTTTGCATACTAGATTGCGGTTGTGGAGAAGTGGTTCCCATCGAATACAACGGAAACGATCTTCCACTTCCGACTGGGTTTCCATAAGGAGATATATTTTCCTTCGGTTCTGATTTGATAATGTTAAAATTGTATTCAATCGGTTGATTTAACGCCATACCATCTACAATTGTGACAAAATACGTAGCATCTACTAATAAACAATTAGTTAAGATAATACAAGTTTATTTTATTACTTACTACAAATATCTACATTTGTTTTACAAATTTGTTAAATATTATTTTGATATTATTTACATTATATTAATTTTAACAATATTTATAAAATAATGTAACAGAATATCTATTGAAAAAAACGTGTTATGATTAATAAGCACATAAAAATTATAAAAGCATAAAAGTGAATATGATTAAGTAACATTTAAAAAGCGAAATAAAAGAATAGAATTAGTTGCGAAGAAAATACATGCAATTTTATATATTTTCACTTCAAACATTACTTGATAAAAATTGAGTTTCTTGTATTGTAATAAAAAATACAGTCAATATGATTAGCAAATATCAACAATCTAAACTAATATTATTATATCGTACCTGAAAAATTTGTTTACATATTCTTTTAATCTGAAATTGATTGGGAGCAGAATAAAAACACGTCATTTTTATCAGTAAGTAAGTATGTATATATGTGTATAGAGATTGATATATTCTGTATATATAAATCATACATTATACAGATATAACTTTTTTGTTTTTTAAAGCAGTTTATAAAAATCTATATTGCCATACAAATATTGCACATAATTTTTGAGTCATTATTGAATATTTAAATACAATATTTTTATACGAGAGCAGGGTATTTGCATATTATTTAAATTATACAGCTCGTTTTTATAGTACATTATGTTATCATTAACAATGTACTTTTGTCCTCACATTAATGGATATAAAAATAATATCCACGCATCATTAATAATTACAAAAATACAGTTTTATGTTTAAATGTACAAGGCCACTGCCCTCTAATTCATTCAAGTATAAATTTCAAACATTTATACAAAACATGTTCTTAAAAAAGTATAAAACAAGATTTTCTGTTAGTGCGTGAAAATATATATATAATATATATGAGAATAGTATTTCTTAATATAATGAAGATTTTGATCCATCAAAATATATCACTCTGCACAGCGGAAACTTTTTATAATTTTTTTATATTAACTTTTTTGGATTTCTGGATCCTATTGTATAAAATTTGACGAGTAAAATATATCACGGAGTTAGAAATTCTTAAATTTCAATGTTTTCAGTGTGCAAAGAGATTAGATTAATCTTATAGTTAGTGTGATATGATTTAAAGGCGCTGAAACAGATATTCTGACAAATGTGAACTCGCGAGTCGTAAAAATACAATAAACATTTTTAAAATGTACAAATTAGTCCAAATCTTTGGAACTTCCAACAACAAATTTTCTATAAATATCACAATAATCATTATAACAAATGGGGCTGATAAACTCCATCAAAAAATGCACAATGAATTGATTGTTGGCATCACTGAGAGCTTGCTAATTCTTTTGTTTTTTGCATACAGTATGAAATAAATGTGAACGTGAAAATTAGTTATAGTACGAAAACGCGTCGATGTAGCACAATGTATTTTAATAAATTTTGACAATTCGATGACGTCAATGGCATCATTTAAACCCAATCCCGCCAAGCTGTAGAATTGAAGACAGTTTGATAAAGATACTCACGCTTCTCAGCTTCTGCCTGTACATGCCTCAAAACTAGCGCGTTTGGATTGTTATTAAACTTTTGTCTCTTTCGCCTTAACGAATCAGGATCATCTATAAATGATTGTACATTAACCACGTGATTTATAAACATTGTTATATAGATTTCACTTCAAGATTCTTTACCATTGAAAACATTATATCTGCACAATCAATTAAATCTTTGGTACAAAATAATTATGAGTTGTAAGTAAATAAAATAATCTTATAAATTACTAATTGTACTTCCAAATTAAATGCTTATTCTAAAATTATAAGCTAAATGATGTTTATAAATCTGGGACACTATAAAAAAAAAACTTAACAACATGTCATAAATAATAAAAAGCAATACACAAGATTAAAAATAAGTAGCAACACTGTAAAATTTGACTAGAAGAAACGCCAACTCTTTGATAATAAACAACAAGTATCAGCTGAGTTTATGTTTCAGCTATTTTTTAAGATATATGA